AGAGCCACCCCCCCACCTCTTCTACCTTGCCTATCCCTTCTGAAGAGCTTGTAGCCATCCATTGCAGCACTCCAGTCATAGGTAGCTTCCCCATGAACTATCTGCTACTTTATCTGGTCTGGATATTGTTGTGCATTTGTGAATGAGGCATTTTGGTTATATTACTGTCCCTATAAATACCAGAGATGATTCAGAATTGGGTAGATTTTGGTTGCTTCCCTTCACGTCTGATGTTAATACATGGCAATACACAAAATAAGAAATTTCTTTTTGCAGTAAAAAGTTTTACAACAGATAATGCAGGAGATCCTTTTTCCCTTATTCCTTCCTTTTTGTAAAGAAGCATTAATATTCCTTAAATTTTGTTACCTATGAAAATTCCTACTAGATTTCTTTGCAAAAATTGTACTCTTCAATGTAAAGCTGATCAAGTGGAACAGGCTTAAGGCTGAGTGTGCTGCACTGAAGTGAAATCTGAAGTTTTCTTTGAGAGAGAACCAGACAGAATCAAAACAGAAAAATAATATTGCTGGATAGCTGGTACAAGTATGTTCATTTATATATATACAGGTTATCCAGCAAAATTACTTTTTTCATTGAAAACCTACAGAAGCTTTAATCTTGAAAGCAAGGGGTTGTATGTGTCTGAACTATTTTGAATAAATTCAAGAACCGGCTTTAACCATTTGGGGTTTGCCTCTGTGTGTTTTTGAACAGTTTATGTAACCTGTACAACTGGCGTTACAAGAATCTGGGTAACCTGCCTCACGTGCAGCTTCTGCCAGAATTCAGAACAGCCAATGCTGGGTTTTTGTATGACTTCCAGCTTATAAATGTAGAAGACTTCAATGGTGTGGGAGAGTCTGAACCCAATCCTTATTTCTATCAGGTGAGAGAAATATTACATGTATACTTTATTTAATCTAGATATGGCTTAGTAAATCTGCAATGAAGACAGACTATCAGAATACAGTAAACTGATTAATTAATGTTCTCAGTTAATTGAGTCATGCGTGTGCATGATTTTTTTCTCCTTTTAGTGAGTTTTGTATGTTGAAAATGGTAATGTATTATGTTGTGCTTCTTACTCAAAATGACTGACTCTGCTTGATGTCTGTGTTTTCTCAGTGTGATGGGAGGGGTGAGATTTGGTGTATAATTCATCATGAAACGTTGTTTTGACTTATGGCACATTGAAGTCTATTGTAATTTGGCTGTACTGCCATGATAGTGAAGTAGACAGTAGCATTTCTCCTGTACATGAAGGAACAAAGTTTGCTCTGTGGCACATATTTGAGTTTGAAGAGTCAATGTATTCATTTGATCTATATGTAAGAATGCTAAAAAGCCCATTCATAAAAGAATGAAAAGGTACTTCAAGAAATATACATGAGGCAAAGAGACATTGAGGCTGAAGTAATGTGCCAAAAAAACCTTAGCCTTGGAATTTCTCAAATAAATTTTCAAATTAAGCCATCAATAACAGCCTCTATCTATTTCTTTTAAATATAGGAAAACCTTTTACGCTTGTAATGAGATGCTTGTATTTTCAGTCCTCTTATTTTTTTTGTTTTAAAAACAGTGATGAAACAAAGTCTGATGCCTAAATCTCCAGTTTGAGTTTTGAAAAAGTTAGAAGCTGGAGCTGTGTGCAAGTTAATAAGCTTAATTCAAATATGGAATGAACACCTTATATTTTGCTAGTATTATGGAAAGCAAACAATATACTTTAAGGTGATCATATTCATGGTCATTTTTTCCCTGTGAAGATCACTGAGAGTTATGTTAATCTATTTTTTTAAAAGGTATGAAAGATATTTATAGGTTTTGCTTGGGGTCCTCTCACTTTCTTTCTTTTTTTTAAATACAAACTAGTGTGCTGTTAGTGAAGAAAGCAATGGTGAGCCATAGTCCACTTTATCTCACTTCTAGATTGAGGACAGAGTCATTTGGAGGGGAGAGTTTCTTTTGATTTTGTTTTTTAAGCTGTAACACTGTAACGTAAAAGTAGTAAAAAGTTGTCCTGTGGAGCAGGAACAGCTGAAATCAGTGCCTTAAAAATGGGATTCTGGTAATTGAGAATGAGCACTGCTTTAGAATGTTCCTGGGCCAAAGAAGACTGAGAACACTCATGCAAGGACAAAGAACACCTGTATCATTACAACAGTGCTTTCATGAGCAAACTCTTCTAACACTTCCTACAGCTGGGGGGGGAGGTGATCTTGAGGATTGAGAGATATTAGCAGAGTATGTTGGTGGCATTGCATGGTTTTTCATGAGATAACAGATTGCCACCACATATTATTTCTCTTTGTGAATTTGGGCATTTCTTTCCAGACTTAAGGGGAGTTAAAATTTGTAGAATAGCTTTACGCCCACAGGTGTTTGATATGCCTGGCAACTGCATTTTCCAAGTAATGCAGAGCCCACTTAATAAGAAAAAATAAATGAGGTTGGTGTGTCCAGCCTAGTCAAACATATGCCAAGTGGGGATAAGATTCCCAGTATAAATAGAGCAGGAATAAATGTCAGCAATTGAGAACAATTTTTTTAACCTGAAAGATAATTTTTCTTGACAGAAAATGGATTTAAACAGGCTATGAATAACTTCCATCTGGAAATGGGACAGAACTTCCTATAGCCAGAAGAGTGGTGCTTTGGAACAGACATTATTTATTATAAGTAATGAAATACTTGTAAGTTATGAAATACAAAGTAACAGCTGGTCATTTGAAATTGAATAGGTAAAGCCTGCAGTAGAAATAACTGGATTTGATAATCCAGATGTCTGTCTCCTAATTAATAGTTGAAAGGAGTTTAGTTATTCTAGTTCAGCTAGTTCTTACCTTCAGCTTACTGGAGAATGACTCATGGCAACTTTTTTGCGTGCTTATTTGGAACCATGTTATGTTGGCGCTAAGTGTTTGTTGTTTTTTTTTTTTAAAGCCTTGTATTTAAATACAGGTATCTGTAGATTATCAGCTTCTAATACTTTTTAACAAATAATAATTCCACAGTTTTACATAGTAGGTGTTTTTTTGACATGTGACCTTTAAGAAGGAGAAAATGAAATACTGTATCAGTTGAGTTCTGTAATAATACAGTTAAGGTGGCAGTTCATTTGGGCAGATGGCTATAAGCATATAAATGCATTTAGATACAAATGTGTAAATATTTAATAGTCCATAAATATAATTTAAATGTTTTAACATTTAATTATTATTATATTTAAGAACTATTAAATATTTAGAATTTAATCTTGTTGAAATAAAACTGGGAGCTTCTGAGTAAATATTGGAAAGTGTCAATCAATGTCTAACAATAATATTGATGTAGATATTTTCAGCAGTTCTCTGAAGAGGAGTCAGAATGACGTTATTAAACCTACTTTGCTTCTTTTATTCCTTCAAAATGGCTTTTATTAAGTGAACAAAGAAACATCAGGTCTAGAGACATTTCTCTCAGCACTGAGTTTTTTGTCTGAATACACAATAATGACACAGGTGTTATTCTTTCCAACCTTACAGGTTGAGTAACCCTTTTTTTTTTCTTTTCTTTTTTTCTCCTCTTTTAAACTTAAGAATCTTGGTGAAGCTGAGTATGTTGTGGCACTCTTCATGTATATGTGCCTGCTTGGTTATCCTGCAGACAAGATAAGTATCCTGACAACATACAATGGTCAGAAACACCTGATCCGTGATGTCATTAATCAGCGGTGTGGAAATAATCCACTGATTGGACGGCCAAACAAGGTGACTTTGAAAATATTTCAGTCATTGGAGTGGTTCTGGTTTGTTTGTTTTTAAATTGTCATATTATAGAATAGACTAATTTAATAGATTCACAGCTTTCTGTGTAAGTATTCCCTGGTTAACCACACATTTACTAACCTATATTCTATGGAATTTCATAGGGTAGAGCCCTTGTTTCTGCCTGTTTGTAATTTGACATACAAAGTGAAGTTGGTGAAGTTGGAAAGGCTACAGACTACATGGGACAGAGTAACTCTTTATTTTGTCATTTATTTTGTCCTCAAACCCACCCGAAAACCCACACCTTTTGGAAGGTCCACCGAGAGTGGAAATGATTTGATAAAACATATGATGACGAATCTGATGAAACAAATAAAGTGCATAGTTATAAAGGTCTGGCCCTAATTCTGCAGGTTAAAACTCTGTATTATAAAACTGGTGCCTTTCCACAATCTTTTGGAATTAGCACCCCACTGTTAGCTGTCGGAATTGAATAAAAACATAAAAGAAATGGTATACAGTCAGACAAAAGCTCCTCCCAACATCTCCCAAAAAGAACAGGCTGATGATTTTTGGTTAGAGGCCGACTAAAACAAAGCTAAAGCATTTTCTTTTCTCTTCCCATTTACTGCAATCTCAGTCTGAAGCTGATGTTAAAATTTTGGTGTCACGTTTTAGTTGAAATGGCAAAGATTAACCTGTGGAGGCTTTTTCTTGGTTTTTGATTCTCTAGGTAACAACTGTGGACAGATTTCAAGGTCAACAAAATGATTATATTCTCCTTTCACTAGTGCGTACCAAAGCTGTAGGCCACCTTAGGTATGTAAGATGATACTCTTGTAGTGTCATTAAACTACATGTTTTCTACCAGAAAGATGTTTATAGTACATTATACAAAAGTGTTCAATTATTTGAGTATGTAGTAGAAACTAAGTTTAATGCTATGTATTGAATGAAGTTCAGACATACTTCCTTTTATAACTGTCTGGTACGCTCTTCACAACCACTTTATCCTTTAGTAATGGCTCTTACACTATAATTAGTTTATATTACTGCAGATAGGCTGAACGTGGTTTCACCCTAGTAGAATGATAGGAATGTAATACTTGTTGAACAAATGCAGGCTTAAATTTTTTTATAGATTCTTTCCTGTAAGTGACCTTTTTATTTGTTTTCTGTTGGAAGTGTTTGATCACTGCATAAGTTGCATTATGATGTGTGGTTTAAAATGTTTGCACTTCAGTTTTGGGGTGGAGTGGAGGAAGACTTGTCTCATCAGCAGTAGTTAGATGAGTTACCAAACTCATGTTTACTCATTCAGGATACAGAAATGCTATTGTGATTTGTTGTCAGTGTAAATCTTTACCTGTGAAGACTAGGAAAATAGTAAATGGTGATTTTTTTTATTTTTTTTTTAATATCATTATTGGTACAGTGAAACCTCTTTTATATAATGGTTCTAGCATTTGGTAGTTATTAAAACGGTATGTAGCAGAAAAAAACTAAAGACAAAATAGTATTTTAGCAGATGATTTTATATTTCCTTTAATTAAGAATTCTGTATACATCTAGTTATTTTTATTGCAACTATGTCATCAGTGAAAAAGAACATGATTGATTTTGTTTGTTTTCTGAAGGGATGTCCGACGATTAGTTGTTGCCATGTCAAGAGCCAGGCTTGGGCTTTATATCTTTGCAAGAGTATCGCTGTTTCAGAACTGTTTTGAGCTAACTCCAGCTTTCAGCCAACTCACAGCTCGACCACTTCACCTCCATATCATTCCCACAGAATGTTTTCCAACGGCAAGACAGGTAGGAACATCTGCTCTGAATTTTGCTATCTGTAATGGCTCTGTATGCCCACTTCTTTTTGAGTAGGCTATAAGGAATGGGACTGTCTTCTCTGCTAAACCAGTGCCTTTTGGATAATTATGTCCCTAGAGTTAACTTTTGTCATGATACACACTAGCTGTTTTTAATTGGGTTTTTTCCACAAAACTTAGTTACCTATAACTCTGTTGTGCCTGCTTTTTTCCTGCTTGTGTAAGTGATTCAGTATTTTTCTTTTGTGTTAAATAGGTGAGTTTTTAGTGTGTTACATATTCTTGGTCTTGCTATGAAACAAAATAATGTTATTTCTCAAAAAAAAAAAAAGTTGACAAGTTTGGGGGGGAGCCCTTCAGTTGAAACTTTCGTGTCCACGGTGCAACAAAGAATGCAGTATGCATGGTCAGCAAGTGTGAGCAAGAAGGAGTTGGACTGTGATGGACAAGTAGGCTAAGTCCTAATCTGATGGTAAACTATTTGTGCCTTTAATATGTTAAATGACTCAAGTCCAAAATGTACTTTATGGAGTGAGCATCAGAACCCAGCCTTTCCTTTTGAAATTTCTTCATTGGGCTGCAGTATCATGACTGATCCAGTTCCCCAGTGTAAGACCTACACTTCCTGTCTTTCCAGAGAATTCAGCTATTTTTTTCTTTAAAAAGCATTATTTAATTTCTTTGGGTTTATGTTTTCTAATATAGTTAAACAACCTTTGAAAAATGGTTGTTTTGCTTTGCTTGCTGAATGTCTACTTTTTTCCCCTTCTTTAGAATGGAGAAAGACCATCTCACCAAATACATGTTATTAAGAACATGCCTCAAATGGCTAACTTTGTGTACAATATGTATATGCACATGATACAGAGTACACGCCACTACCAACAGGTAAGGACCTTCTACCTTTTGGAAGGTATGTATTTAAAAAAAAAATTGATTTTTAGTAAGTGACATGAGATGCTGTTGAGGTTTGAGACTGTTCCTGTTATGTTTAAAATTCAAGAAGGTTTTATGATAGGGAGTGAGAATATTGAGGTCTTTAAAATATTGCAGTAGCAAGAGCTGTATCTTTTAGTAATTTCAGCCCCAATTTAAGGCCCCAAAACCAGCAGTAATTGATGCCGAGTGTTAGACATGGCTCTGTCTGGGCCCAAAAATTCCTCAATAATACTAAAGAATTAGTGTGCCCAGTATTTACTTGAAGTAAACTTGTGTGTTATGTTTCAGGTAAGTCCAGCTAGTGGTGTTATAGCATCACTGCATGGTGCAATAATGTTTTGTAATACAGGTTTTCATGACAAGCCTGCAGTTTATAGAAAGACCAGATTATGTTTTGGAACCATTTTAACCATGTTAGCTCACTGCATTATCCAGGCTGGTTAGCAGCTGTAGTGTTTTTATTCTGGAGCAATTTTTTTTCAGCAGTAGTTCAGCACCAAGCAAAATAGCATGGGGTTGGAAGCAGTTGTAGATGCTATCTCACTTCCATACCTAATTTTGTCAGTGTTTAATCCCTGAAGCAGAATTCAGAACCCAACAGAAACACCTTGTTGTCTTACCTATGTGAGCAGGGGTTTAAGGCAGTTTAGATAGTATACTGAGCAGAAAGCTGCCTTTACTTAGCATACTTGCATCTCTAGATGCCTACAAGTAGTTGATAGTAAACAGAAAGGGAGTCTTAAATGCTATCCCTCAACTGCATCAGTTTTCACTTAATGTCTGGGGTGTATCATGGTTTTATAACCTATAATTCATTCTTTCACGGTACTCTGAAGTTCCCTTGTTAGTTTTTGCTCTTCTGAAGGATTTCCAAAAGTGGAAAAAATTGATGTAAAAGGACACTACTCACACTGGATTAGCTGGCTGTGGAAGAGAGTGTGAGCATGGCTCTGTATCCTTGATCAGATTAGTCCAAGGTACTTGTCTGTGAGATCTAGGTTCTGTGCTTTAATGCAAGGATGTTTCTCTATCACCTCCTCTTCCTTCCTTCTTCCACTGACTTTTTGATCTGATATGGAACAGTGTAATCAGTAGAGATCAAATGGTAAATCCCATGTCTCCTTTAACTGAATGTTAGACTTTCAGACAGAAAATTTCTTTTTCTCTGTAGTTCTTAGCCAGTGAATTTGGATTTATGGTTTTGTTTTGTTTTGTTTTCTTCTGGGAGGCATAGCTTCAACCAAATTTGAAGCATTTTGCTACCCAGAAAAAGCCTTTGCCAGGTGGACAGGATGCTTTCTCACTATTTTGGGGAAGTGCTCTAATTATCTTGTCTGCTGTAAAGAAAATGGGATAGAGAAAGAGTGACACTACTAAAATCTCTTCTTCTTCTAACTGTATTCTTTTTAAAGTAGCAAAAGCTCACACTTTTATTAGGAAACCCGGTCCTATAAGCACATGATGAGACTTGTTTTGGAGCCAGTTTGTCTAATATAGTTGGAGATCTCTCAACTGTGCAGATTGTATGTGATGAAGACTCCGTGGACTCTGTAGTTGGTCACAGTCAGATGCAAATGAATTGCCCTGTCAAAACTGAGAAGTGTATACATGTCCTGAAAAGCAGATGGTAGTATCTAAATTATACCAAAAGATGGGTTTGCTGGACACCTTAATCAAATATGGACCCGGTCCTTCTGCTAATACCAGTTACCCTTTTTAGCATCCTAATCTAATCCATTGCTAGCTAAAATTAGTTACAAAACTGCTGTTTTCCTACTGTGGCAATGGATCACATTCTCTTTGCAGGAGAAGCCAAAAAGTGAACTACAAAAAAAAAAAAAAAAATGCAGGCATTAAATTACTTTTACCCTATTTAATACAACATGATATTTTTCCGTTTCTTTTACACTAATGTTAACAGCAGTAGTCATGAAACACAACATGCATCTAAGTAAGTCACAGAAGTACTCTGAGTTTGTCTCATGCATCAAGAGTATATTTTTGTAATTAAAGGATCTCTGGTTTTGAAATAAACTTCTTCCATGAACAGATGGATTATAGAGACCAGTACGATTGCTTCATAGATTTGCCTATGCTTGTCAGAAATTTGTAATATTAGTGTCATCTAATTGAATATAAGACTTCACTGTAATTAAACACTTAATTTGTCATGTGAACCTAAGCTGCCTTTAAGCAAAACAAAACTAAACAATTGTCCATGGGAGGTTTATCAAGCTTTCATTTCATTAAAATGCTTCACAATATTCCAAGGAAACATCCATTGTGTGGTTAAATAATGTCGGGCTGCAAGAAGTATGAGTGTTTCTGGACAGCCTGGAGTTGTATAACATTCATCCATACTCTTCAGCTCACTGTATTCTCGGTATTTTTTTTTTTTTCCCCTCGAAGTCTGTAGTATGGCTACCACTGCTGCTTATAATGTTTTGCAAACTACTTCTTTGGTTGTGAGCAAAACACTTTGAATATACTAAATTATTTTCCAGAAGTATTATGTGAAAGATATCTAAGCATTGCTTTAACTGTTACTGGAACTTGTGTTGTTCTACATTTACAGCTGTGGGTGAAATGTGTGTAAGTACAGATAACATTCACATAGCATTTTACAAGATGTTTCAAGGGGAAATTACTGGAATGAGTTGTTAAAGACGGGCCTGTTAAAGGCCTCAAAAAGCAAGTTAAACATATCTAGGAGATTGAAATGGTAATAGATGAGATTATGGTAGGAATGTGCTTGTTGCTCCAAGTAGGGATTTACCATAACCCTATTACTTGTCTGGCTGTTTGGGATAATGAAATGTGTTTGATATCCTTGAATTGGAAGTACTGACTTTTTAACACCCTCTTTTCAGGCAAAAAAATGTGTCTAATAAGACCATTGTGTGAGCCAAGATTATTCTTTTTTTTTTTTTTTTAATATAGGAGTTAAATGCTTACAAATTATTAGAGCTTCTGAATTTTAAGTCTTTGTTGTTAACTTATCTAATGCAAAATCCTAAATATAAGGTGAACAATTCAAGCTAAAATAGGAATAGATGCTCAAATAGATATATTTGTTGTAATAACTGAAAATCCTTTCTTTTTTAATCATCTAGCATTTACTGCCCCCACCTGCCATGATTGAAGAACCAGAAACTACTCAAACTCAAGAGACTGAAGTAGAAGGTGAGGGGCAAAGCATGCAGGAAGATGCTGAAGGAGAAGAAAATAAGGTAGGGGAAGAAATGATAAAGGAAGGAGAATTGAAAGTGGCCGAAGTGGATGAACATCGAACAATGCCAGAACACCCCGGAAGAGACAGTGATAGTGGAGACAGTGAACCTGAGACTGAGACTGAAAAGTGATCCACGGGATGTTTGTCCTCGCATGTTTTGGAAAACAGATGGGGAAAAAAGCAGTTAGAAATATAATTGCTATTTTTACAATTACTTTTTTTAAATGGTTGCTTGTGTAATGTGACCAGTTTGGTATATTTTTCATGGAATACTCTGTGGACAAGCAAAATGTGTGGCAAACATTTTACTGAGTTCTTGTCAGTATCAGTAATGTAATTTGTTTCATGGCCTCAAGTAATACACAATTTCCTTTTCATAAGTTCAGTAAAGATGCTTTTTATACCACTTTTGAATATTTGACCTTTAATTCAGTCACTGAGTTACCCATTAAACCTCACCGATTAAGTACATTCAATATTGGTCAGACACTCTTCATAGTTTATTTCATATTTCGCAGTGGAGAATTCCTTAAGCAGAGCTGTGCTCATATACACTGAGATGGTATTTTAGGCATAGGCTCAAGTTCAGTAAGATATTTAATTGTATATCTGAGAAATGTGAATTACTATGGGACTTGAAATGCTTAAAAGCTTTATTGAATTGGGACCTTAGCAGGTTCTTGGAATTTCATAAGACCCAGGTACTTGTAGAAATTTCTCATTGTTGACTTCTGATGGTGTTTCTAATTGATCCTTATTTACAGAAGTAAGGATGCAGCTTTTCAACAGCACTTTTTTTTAAATCAGTGTTCTGAAATAAATTTCTTTCGCTTTAAGAGGACACAATAATTGCTGAGGATAAAGTCATGTGAGGAGGAAAAATGAAAGTAGTTCCCTGAATGCAGGATTTGCAAAACATACAATATTGAGATTAATGACATAATGATTGAGTGGTTTTTCTAGGGCCACTTCCAAGTCTACATCTTTCATAAAGTTTCTCCCTGGTTCATTTAGAATACCTGCCAACTTGGCAAATTATTCAGTGGTTCAATGAGACTTACAAATTTCCAAGTGGATTATCAAACAAAGCAATAGCCATAGGAACACCTTTTTTTGCTGGCAAAGGGAAATGCTTGGCTTTCAAGTGTTGCAGTTGTGAAGCCACCAGAAGGACTTCCTCACTTAAATTGACTAGAGAATAATTAACTTAAAAGCTTTTATTAATAGCATTGAAGTTCTTTATTTTTCTTAATATTTTTGTAGTATAATAAGGAAAAAAGAAATAGGATAAAATTAAATGTAAGCCAAGCTCCATGAAACACATCTGTTGCATACTTGTGTGTGCATGCTGAGATCTCATCTGCTCCTCCCTCTGAAATCATTCCCCCCCATCAGTTAAGAGGGAAGCTCAGGAGTAACAAATTCTAATGCTTGCTGTTGGTACACAGTGTTCTCTTATGTTTTTCATTCACTGAAATGGAAGTTTTCTCAAACAAGAAAACTAATCGTTTGAGCAGAATGTGTGTTCTTTCATTGCTTCTTTTGATTGGAAGGAAATCTACTGTTTATTACCAAATTGTCTTCCTTGGAAGAACAAATATTACAGTGTTGAACACTTGGGTGTTAAGTTTCATGCAGTAATGTTCATATGTTCATGCAGGGTCAAGTAATGCAGGGCCTTCAGACCACAAGCAACTAGCTCAGCTGAGGGTTGTCATCTTTGTTTTCCAGCCTATTTTCTATAAATATTTGTCAATCATTTATTGGTTTTTAGCATTTTAGGAATTGAAAAAGGATTCTGGAGTTTTTTTCTAAAATGAATAATTTAACTGACAGAGATTCTATCAATAATTAGGACAGAATGGCTATTAGCAAGCACCCAAAGCTGAAAGGAGCTGCGAAGACCTTTTTGAGTCATGCAGTTTGCAGTGAACTGTGACCACACCTGCCTGTGTGATGCTGTGTTCTGTGTGCAGGCCCCAGGTATATGTGATCGCTTCTGGCTCAGTCTTTGTAGAACAACGGCCAAGTATAGAGTTGTCCTAGACGTCAGTGTTGCCCTAAAATGGTGAGTGGAGTTGTAATGAAGGTTGTTCCTGGAGGTATTCGTAAAGCGCGTAGACGGGGTACTCCATAACATGGTTTGGTGGGCATGGATGATGGTTGGACTTGATGATCTTGAAGGTCTTTTCCAACCTAAATGATTCTATGATTCTAAGGTGCAGGAAGAGGTAGTTGGACTGCAAGCAATTGCAAAAGCTTGAACAGCCTTAACATGCAGTTTTCTGAGGAACCAAGCACCACCTATAAAAGAGATGGAAGGTTTTGTTGAGGTGTCTTGAGCTGAGCAAGTGGTTCGTTATCCTTGCTGCCATCTTCCATATGTTGAACTTTACTTTTTTCAGGGACATGATAGCATTAGGAGAATGCATTTTCAGAAGTCTGGGAAATCATGATTTTCTTGTAGCAGTGGTTGGAAAGTTCTTGAGGCTTTGATTTACAGTATGAGGTTAGGGGTTTGGGGCTTTTTTTTTTTTCCCCCCAAAAACTTTTCAGGTCCGTTTTCATTTTTGGTAAAGGATGAACTTTGTCTTTTCCCCCAAAGTAGTTTTTATGTTCTATTTTCTTATAAGAAAGACTAGGTGAGAAAAGTGAAGCAGTCTAAAACTGTAATTTTGATCTACATGGTTTCTTTTCCAGCGGCAATATTTACTTGGGATATAGCATCCCCTTCTGATGTCCCTATCTTTATTCTAGTGATCAACAAGATCCAGTTGTTAAACTAAATGTATTGAAATTTAAAAAAAACCCAAACAAAACAAAAACACAAATGTATTTATTTTTAGAAGGCAGAATCTGTGAGTGAACAAAATCAATGTTAAAATAGCTTTTAAAAAATTCTCTTCAAGCATTATTGCAAAGAATTATTACAGCACTGCATGAAAACCTACTGAACAAAATCTTTGTGAAACCTGGAGGAAAAACTATAAAATTACTTTCTTCTATTGTTCCAAAGCCATGTAATAACCCCAAAACACTAAGGACTTTTGAGTGAAACTAAAGAACTATTAGTGGAGGTTTTTTCATATTTATTTAGCTAGCACTTCCATGAATTGCTTAATTTTCCTCTGTTACACCAAGCCTGTAAAACAACTTCAGTGCTACTTTCCAGATTTATTTAAATAGAGACTAGTTTAGAAATGGCTCAATCCTTGAACTCTTAATATTGTGCTGATAGAAAAATGATACTGTAATTCAATGTACTGTTCATTTCTGTAATAGCCAGAAAAACAAGGGCAAAGAGCAATTTACTTAGGGTTCTGTCATCCACACATAGCTGAGATAGTACTGTATAAATACAGGCCCCTTTCCATCTGTGACTGAAATAATGCAGTAAGTGCATCAAAGAAAATGCCTCAGTAACACCTGCAGAGCATGGCTTGCTTTTGCTTTAGACTGTATGGGACTTTGAACTGGCTTGGCAATGTGGCAAAGATGGTGGGTAAGTTAGTTCTAAAAAGTTCAGGACAAGGTTTGCCAAGGGGAAAAGAAGAGACAATCTGGAGGTCTCGATAAGCACTTTACAATAATGAATATGTCCATAAACTCCTGAAGATGAGGCCATTACTTTTTCCTAGCCTTACCTTGCATTTGCTTTAATCGTGGATAGCAAATACTGCTCTACGTGTTAGATAAGGTAGGTTCTAACTTCCTTCAAAAGGGGAGCAAACATCTGGCCCCTTCTCCTCCCTCTTGGAACGGATCTCTGCAGTTTCCTGGGACATAAAAGTATATGAACCCTGAAGAAAAGTATTCTCGTGAGGAGTAGAAGTTTCCCTGACAGAATGGCTTTGCTGACAGGACAAAAGAGACCAGTCTTATTCTCTGAAATCACAGAAATCTTTTAGAAAAGAAGACCTAGAGGCGATGTTGATCGCATACTGGATAAACATGATGACATACAATTCTATTGAAACAAGAATTAGGTAACACTTGAAATCTTGTAGAGCAAGCAGACAAAAGCGAACGTCCTAGCCAACAAATGAATCACAACCCACAGCAGTCAAGAAGCTGCGAATGCCATTAAGACATATGGCAGTGTAGTCTCCTTTGCCAAACATGGTAATCCTCCCAGTAGAAACAATCAATAGAAAATTAATGTTTTGGGGGAGTTTTGGAGGCTGTTTGTATGGCCCTTAGTGCTTCCTTTGCTATGTGGTTTCTCAAGTGTAGTTCTCTTTACAGTCCTTTTTCTCAGAGGATTGGTTGCTTAGGTACCTGTCAAAAAAGCCCAATAACTGTAATGTTTATGTGCTATAGTACTGATAAACACGTTTTAAAAGAATGCCGTTTCCATTACAAATTGAAGAAGAACTTTCTTAAAGGACTTTCTGCTAAGCATCCTCTGTAAGTCCATGTATCTTCCTAACTTTTGAGAGGTTTCTGAAAAAGTACAGTACTGAAACTTCCAAAATAAAATTCCTGCTTGCCAACACAGGCATCTACAAAATTACTACAGTGAAGAGAATGCAAGAAAAGAGGGAGAAACAATATCTGCCATACTACTCCCTCTCAGTTTGTAAAAAAATAATATTTCAGGAGACTAAATACTACTACTGTAATGAGAAAGTGATCTTTTCCCACTCCTGTGGTAGGTAACAAGAACAGATTATCTCTCTGGGCCATGTTCTGGCAGAGCTTTAATCAGCTTAATCTAGCCCATATTGGGGATAATGTAATATGTTGCTATTAAGAAAAATAGCGTATTTCATTTGGCTTCTGTTACAATTTTCACTCACCTTGAAAAAAAGAGCAAGGACAAGGACCATTGAATCAAGCAATAGCATTACTTAAGTGTAATGCAGAGAAGCCTGTTGCTGTACTGTTATATGTGGAAAACAAGATAAAAATAAAAAGCTGAAGAAGAGTTATTTCAGCTATAGGTAAGTTTCCAGAGTTCAGTGTTATCTCTCTGCTTGAGAAACACTATCAGAGCAGAGTATGTTTCTGTATGAGTATCTCTGAAGAAAATGTAGACCCAGACAAAAAGTTGAGCCAGCTGCTGTCAATTGCATAGTCCATCTATACATGTCAGTGAAAAAGCATATGCAACTACAGTGCATGTTTGCCTAGTGAAACATAAGAATTTCATGATTCCAGAGAACAGCATAAAAGAGTAAGCTGGAGAGCCAAATAAGGGTCAGGAATATATCAGTCCTGGCACCATGTGCACGAGATAAAAAGAAGCCGCCCTTATTGCATTTATCAAGTGTGAATTCCTAAATTGCTGCAACCCAGTGTAAGAGAAGCCCTGCTACGCATCTCGAGACGCTTCAGCATCCTGCTGTGCTAGCCTGACATCTCTTGTGTGTTAAGAGCACTTATTTTTAGATGGGACAGTCATTAGGGACATAACGTATCTTAACTACTGTAAAGGAAGTAGTTCAGGGGCAGCAGAAGCGGATAGGGAGAAGCTCAGTTACAGAGGCACTAAGATTCTGTTTCTGACCTTCATCTGTAGTGGTATAGACTTGTTCTGTTTTTTCGGAGTGATCTTCAGCGGCGGCAGTCATGCCCTATTGGGCAATACCATGTTTTCTAGAATGAGACATGCCACATGTTTTGCATGCTGAGTCAGAGGGGAGAAGGCACCTCACCAGTAATCCTCTTGTGCTGAGGACACATGCAAGAATGCTGAAACAAGACTAATTGGGAACAAGAAAAGCCCAGTTGCAGAAGAGTTGTCTTGGTGTCACTGACCACCTCTGGAAACAGAGTTAAATAAATAACTGCTGTATTGCACGGTATGTAGACATGACCTAAGTTTGAACATAACTCACGCATACCCAAACACTGCCTCTGTATGGCTCTAAATGAAAACCTAATAATGACTAAGGTTGAGGTAAGATACAGTTAAGAAGAGATGATGGGTTTGTTTATCAGAAAGATATACTGAAAATTACTATTTTCTGATAGAAATCTTTACTGAAACTAAAGTCTCTGTTAGCAGTTTTGTGGTTTCATACAGATCCTAGAGGAGAACCTTACGTATTCACCTTCTAGAAAATGTTGAGTTCTTATTTTGCAGACTGGCTTTTACTGATACCTTACCATATATTGGTCTGGATTTTCTCATCTCTGTCAGCGTGTAGCAGTGAAAAATCATGTGGAGTGGAAGGCCAGAAGGTATGGCATCCTGGTCAATTCTGTATTTATCATAACATTGTATCTAAACTGTTGTAATGAATGTGATTTACATAAAACTTAAGTGATAAACTACGGATTTTCAGAACAGAAAACATGTTAGGGAATTAGGAAAATTTTGTGGGTTATTGTTTTAGGAAATAATGCAATTGTAGGGTTGATGACAATTTTCCCAAAGCAACACTTTTCTCAAAAACGTTAGTTAAATGTTGCACTTTGTTGGTATTGTATTTAAAACCAAACGACTACTGTTCAAGCACTTGGCTTTAGTAATGCACTTTTCTTTTACATGAATCGTATGTTATTAGAAAGTCAAGAGATAAAATAGAAAGTAAAAGATACAGTATTCCCAATTAAAAAAAACAAACAAAAAAACCCCACAAAGACCCAAACCAAAAAACTCAAAATATTTCAGAGTGTTTAAAAATTATCTTTTTTTTTTTTTCAATTGGCACTGAAAGGAAAATTTAAAATTTGGACTTTCACACAAAATGAATACTTGAAACTCTGACCAACTCTGATCAAATATGTTTGGATGTTGAACCCTTCCTGCAGTACCACTTGAGTTCCAGTTTTGAAAACCGACCGACCTAGACACAGAAGTGAATGATTCACTATAATCTTCATGAAGTCCAAGCTATTAAAATTGTCCTCAATGCCCTGCTTTCCTATCCTGGTACAGGATGTAGTAACATACTATTGCTTTCCTTGTTTGGATCTGACCATGTTTCAGGCACCTGCTAGTTTTACTCAGAGCTAAGAAATGCTCCAGAGTAGCTCATTATTTTCACAGGCTCCGTTCTTTATCTCATTTGATCTCTAATGTGCTATGAACTAATCTTGTTCCTGCATACACAGATACTTCAGCGATGGGGCAGTTGTCCTAGATTGCTCCCTGCTCCCGCGACGTTCACCCACTGGCGTTCTGTCAGTCTGAGCTGCGTAATGAGATGAGGCACTGAGGACAGCTGCTGCTCCTGACTCATCTTAGCGCTCGGTCCCATGCACAGTACCTTCCTGTGACTCTAAGCTGAAGCAGTCATTATAAATCGGAAAGAAAAACGGAGCAAACCCAGTGGATTTAGTGTTTTAAGTTTTATTTATTAAAACACAAATACCAGTGGAAATATAGGTGCATACCTTGTGTAGTGGTAAATTTATATAGAGAAAGTTGATCCTTAAGAGAATGTCTTACTATAATCACAAATGTGCTATGCTTAATTTTGTCAGTATGAAACTTGATCTTTTACTTAATACAAGGTAAAGGCTATTCTGTAAACTACTAGATTACACCAGGACTTTAAATGGTTTTGCTATTCAGTATACAGAACTATGAATGAATACACCCCCATGCTTTCTACCTATGGGAATATATGAAAAGCCTTTCAACTTAAACAATGTAATGCCCTTTTAAGTGGTGTTTTGGCATCTCATTTCCCCAAAAATGGTTTGCCCTGCAAATTTAAGTTACTCTATTTGGATTTCTTTTTTTATATTTAGAAATTATGTCTTGCAGTGTTCCAAGAAGAATACAGTGGAATAAAGAGCCGATATAAGTTATTGCTAATGCTCCTGTACCATGGAGGAGGAGGTGTGGAGAAGGCAATCCCTGTCCTAGGTTTCTGAATTCTGCCAGCAAAGGAGACTCCTAGAGGAGAGCATGTTCCATTCAAGCTAATGAGAGTTTGGGTCAATAATTTTTATCTTAATCCTCCTAGACTTTAGCTAAAGATGCCAAGTTTACATACATACAAATACAAAGCTGTCCTAAAAATTGCTATCCAAACTTTTGTCTAAGGGATTGCACGACTGGGTAACTGGGACCTGGAAGGCAATAGGTAGAAACTGGTGGGACCATTAGATCAGAGGTGTAATAAGCATAGTATGCCATGAGCATATTATGAGGAGATGACGTGTAACATGTAGCAGTGAGCTAAATACATACCTCAGTGTTTTAGCTTTAATCTGTGAATGTAACAATAGTTCCATGTTTCTTCTAGCAAGATCTTTTAAATGAATTAGAAACGCATCTGCTTTGATCAAATATTTTCCCAGTTGGCACCTGTCTCCGCCTCAGGCTACCTTTCTCCTTCACGAAGGGAGGGAAGCGACGGTGTTCGTGACTCTTCTCACGCTCGTGCCTGCAGAGCAAAGCTCTCTTCCTCAAGTCAACCAGAAAAGCCTTAGTGGGAATCTTCCCTTACCCTCTACCTTCAGATATGGGCTCACTGCCTCAGTTTGCTGGCGGTGGCACCTTTTTTCCCCTACTTGGTAACTGTTTGCTGGATGAGTTTTGCTGCTTTTTGCTGCAGCTTTTTGCAATCTGGATATGGCCTCCCCAGTTGAGGGGAAAGGCATAAGCCTTGCTTGCATTTTGGACTGGTTATGGTATGCCTCTGAAAGGCGTAATGTGAAAAAAGAACACATGTGCTTATATGTAGAAATTTGTGTTAGGGTAATTGGCCTAAATTGCGAAACCGCCAGTAACCTAATTAGCCACTGCCCGACTCTGAATGTAGGCCACGGACATCAAGGTCTTCCCTGAGCCATGCAACCCTTTGGGATTCGGTAGGAGCTATGTGCAGATTTCAGGTTACAGTTTTAGATTTTGATGTTAACGTGCCATTGTAGTCACAAAATTTTTTCTGTTGGTTTTTTTAGGTCTAGCTCTAGGCTGTATAGATATCAGTAGATGGAGAAAAGCCAGTCTTGCAGCACCCTTTCAAATCAGCAGTCTTGGAGGCAAGTAACAATTATTCATAGCAATCTTTTTGGTAATTCTAAGAAAAGACTGGAACATATTCATAGTGTTTTCATTAAATTTTGTGGACTATCAGCATTTCAGATACTCTAGTAAAACCTGCTTAAAATAGGGAAGTCATTCAATAGAACAACAAAGACTGTACTTTCTTGTCTTGTTCTAGCTTGAAGCCAGATTTAGGACATCTTGAATATATTGGCAACTGAGATGTTTGAAGACAGTTTTAATTAGCTATTTAGCTAGTTTGTTTATGAAAGATGATCAGAAATTGAGCACTAATTTGCAGTATTATTTCAATAAGTACATGTTCAGAGTGAAGATTAGACTGTTTGTTTTCTAGTGGAAGAAAAACAACAAATCATCTGCAACTGAATTTTAAGGGCCTGCGCAGCAAAGGCAAGACTGAAGATACAGCGCCACTCTTTTGCTATGTCCTGTGCAGTTTCTTTATTTGAATTCATTCTTCTGCTTAAGTTGACTGGGTGTTTAAAATTTCAGCTGGCAAGCTGTCAGGCTTGCCAGCAGCATTATAACTGAATATCATGACATCCATATACTTACATTTTCCACCATAATACTCGTTTAGCAACCTCAGTGCTGAAAAAAAATATGGAGAAAACCCACTTCTTCATATACGCTGTGAAAAAAATGTTGACATAATTCAGATGTAATTTTGACATAATTCAGATCACCATGTATTTAGCTGAAGATGTTTTGTTAAACTAAATGCTCAAATAATTTTGTGACTGAGGCTTTCTTTGAGATATATAGGTAACAAGAAAGTTACTTAGAATATCTTACAGCGCTTCACCCTGATGTGATTTAATATAGCCTAAGTGGATTTTACCAGAATTTTCTGAAGCATAAACATAGCTGAATTATAAAAAGCTGCCTATAAAACAGCATTTGTAAGCTGTCTTTTTAAAAATTACCAAACATGCTAAGAGAAACACACACTGAAAATTCCTTGGAAATTATGGAATGTTCTTGTTTTCTAACAAAAAGATGGGAAAGACAAAATAAAGGAAATTGGAGGATTTGAGGAACATCTGAAGTGCTTGTGTAACAGATACAAACAGAAACCTTCCCACAGGGATTTTGGGACTCATGTTTTCCTCCCTGTTTTGGTTCTTTGCTGCTTCTATTGTATGCCTGTTCCAAAATGCACTCTTTTCTACTGGGCACAGTGGAGTTTTCTGTAAGATCGCTGCAAAACTTTTCTAGCCATCCTTATTTCTCTCTCCCTGTCATGGAAGGATGGGGGAACCGCATGTGTAATATCTCTAGGATATGCCAGGTCTCTCCTCCAAAAGTTTTCACTAATCAAAACGTGACATGCACATGCATTAGTGTCTACCTTTAGTTTCCCTGTTTTCATGCTTTTTGTGGTCGAGAGCAGAAGATGCTTACCGTACCAACTCAAATGCAGCTGCCAAAACCACGGCTAAGGCTGGAAGCTGCATCTTCAGCTCTGCGGCAGAGGTGACACACCACGGCTTTAACGCAGGGCAGCCGGCAGTTCCCCTCGGGATGTGCAGTCTCTGGCTGATGGTGACTTCGACACACTTCTGTCCTTGCCCGGCAGCTCCAGCCAGCCCAGCCACCCCGTTGGGATTACGTGAGCTGGCGCAAAGGCAGTTTCTCCCAAGGTTGCGGGTTTATGGGTGTGAACGGCAGGCTTAGGGGTGCCTCAATTCCTGCGAGAGGTTTGCTGCCTGCCGTGATCCCTCCGTTCCTTGCAGCCCACCCCAGACCTGAGCCACTTGCTGAGGCCGCGTCTGTCGCTGTGGGCACGTCCCTGTCCTGGTACGGTGCGGTTGGTCGTGTTCAGGTGGCGAAAGAGGAGACGAGGGCTTTTGTCAAACAACGTATTCACCTTGCTTTCCTCCTTTGGTGAAGGCCTGGCAGAGGAAATCTGATCATTTAAAAAGCCAGACAGTTGTGCTGTAAAGAAAGGTAAGGCTGTTTTCCATGTATTTTTCTGCTTTTACTGATATTGAGCAGTTCATGTACTTTTCAGTATTATATCATAAATATAGCATAAATTCACCTAATAAATCCACATCATCCTTTCCCTGACCTCTATTATAGTCTCTTTCTAAACAGGAACAGTAAAAGCGATGTTATTAGGTTAGTTATGAAAAAGTAGTGTGATTGGTATGAAATTAGTCTGTGGGCAACACTAGGTAGAGTTGGATTGTTCAAGAAAACATTCTTTCTGGTCATATTTGAAATGTTTTCTAAACAGAACTTGGCTGAAGAAATGGAACTGTTTAGGTTGCCCATAGATCCAGAATTACTGTTATTTTTCATGACGTTGTTTACTCTGTCATGATTTTAAAGCAGTGCCTGCTGCCATGTTGTTCATGTATTTTATTAGCATCTCAATTAAAGCAACCCATTTAACTCAATAATATTGTGCTACCCTCAATGATCACTCATTAGACTGAGTAATACTGTTTTTTACTACCTTGACTTTGCTTCTTTTTCTCTCTCCTTGATGTTTAACCACTTTATCACTCTGTATATATGGTTGTTTAACAGGAGTCCTTTGATAACCAAGGTGTGCACATAGTAAATGCTTGGTTTTCATTTTTAAAAGAATTTCCTGAGCAGTTTATATTTTTACTGTGAAATCTCAATTATGAATTATTAAAAATTAAACACTGAGCAATGTTTCAGTGTTTTAGGTATGATACATTATTTTTCCATTGTTTGATTTTAATTTGTTTGTTTAGCTGCTGGACATCTCACAAGACTACCAGAAAATGCCAGGTTGTGTTTCGGATTGTTTAGCATTTTCATACATATAAATACACCTGCAACTTTCCAGACTGCTGAAAGAATGAACAAGGCAGAAATAAAATGCTCTGACAGCTCACAACACATCTCGGTCATTGGGGAGATAACTGTTAATAGTCGTGGTGGTAATAGGCTTGATGGATCTGTTAAATAAAGCATATAGTCTCAAAGCGCAGCACAGGGAGTAGGTGATAATGAAAAGGACCAGCAGATATGTAAACTCAATTAACCTGGTACTAGTTGTATGCAACCTGTTTCTCACTAAGCCGGAGAATAAGCAATGGGGAGTGTCCTTCTTTGGTTGCCTGTTGACAACCTGAAAAGTTCTGCAGCTTTATGGGCTAGCCATAGTCTGGACCTTGGGATTTTCTTAATGTATTATATTCCAAACATATTATATTCCAAACATTAATTGTATTCACCTATAACCATATTTTCTCATGTGTTGAAGGAACATTGCAACTTATCTCTGTAGAGCTATGTTAAAAATTTTCATCCAAGTCATTCTAGTCTAGAAAACTCACTAAAGTGAATCTGGTATTTCCCTTTCTTCCTTAGGAAGTTTCCCAGGAGGCATGTGTGGCTTGGGATTTGCTACATTAGACTTTTGTTAAATATATGAAACAGATTTTTCTTGGCTGAAAATATCTTTTTTTTCCCCCAAAATAAAAATTTCCAACACGAGAGAGTTCTATCTCTATATGTCTGTATACACTTGCAGTCAAAGTTAACCCTTCTTTTCCGTGTCACTGGGTTTCAGATGGCAGACCGCAACTGCTTAGTATGGGGATTATTTTGGCTCGTTGTGCTGGTGTTTCCTGGCTGGCCCATAGGCATAGCCTTGTGTGCCCTCTATGGATTCTTTTCTCCTCTCGCTACTTTAATAGGACTAGATGAATTAAGCGAAGTGTTGCTGAAGGGCGCGTTTGGGGAGGCAGCGTGCTCAGAATGTGTGCGATGGCAAGCGCCTGTGTTAAGCAACGGAGACAGCCCTGCATCAGTCAAGCAGCCCACTGCACGCTGTTGGATTTCATAGTTTGTTAATCTTATTTTTTTCAGATCTAAACAAACTTTTCTTAGTTTTTAACTGTGTACTGTTCTCTTCAGCATTTCTAAGAAACCTTACAATGCAGAGGTTTGTCTTCTAAAATATACGATAAAAGTTGTAGCTATTGTTTTGAAAATAAGTAATGATACCATGTACTTGGAGAAGGTAGCTATGTGCACATCTCTCAGGTTTTGAGCTCAGTGTCAAAATCTAATTAAATAGTTGAAAATACTGCCTAGAGGTGGAATGCACCCACTGGTTCTGATTAAGACACTTGCTGAAGAGTGGATACTGAATTGGAAATTTATTTTGGTGAATATTTTAATCTGCAGTGTACATTGCTCAGTAATAAGAAAAGTAAAATTCTGATCTGATGCCTTTACAGTGTGTATTTTTTAATATATATATTTCAGTGCCTGTTTAGTTCCTTTGCAATAGACATTAGAAATTGTGTGTGTTATCATCTCAGTTTGTGTTAATTTCCTGTGAAGAGCAGTTTTTCAATGGAACAACTTTGCTCATGTGGGTTCACTGCACTGTTTTCAAGTATATTAAATTAATAAACAATTTCTGTAAACACCCTGATTGAAATGTCTCCTTCTTTGTCCTTTGTTTGAAATATTTTATATTTTTATAAAACACTAAGCATTGTCCAACCATTTACTTGTAATACTTTAGATTTCTAAGAATTTTAGTAGGTCTCTAGAAAAAATATTTTTTATTTTGCTTTTTTTGACCTGTGTTTGCTGGTTCTGTCATCTTATATTTTTATTATAGTGCATATTTATATGAAAAATAAGATTGGTTTTCTAAAGTTTCTTTTCTCGCTTCAAAAGACATTGCATATCTTCAAGTGACCAGTTGACAGAGTGACAGTAACTACAATTTCCTGTGTGTTTCCAGAAATGTTTTGGAAATCAGCAAGTCTAGAAGGCAGTTTAAAGAGGTTTAATTGATCCAGAGGAGGTTATGGTTAGATGAAACAGTCTTTTATCTATATGTTTTAATCTATAGCAAGTGGTTTTTGTAATAGCTCCTGCCTAGAACTGCCTGTAACTTGGTTCTGGGAGGTAAGGATATGTATTTCTACGACAGCAGGAGCACAAGAGTATTACATATGCTATTACAATAAGGTACTGCAATTAAAAAGCCATTTTAAAATAAAGTTGGCCATAATTGAATTATTTTTTTGTTCCTTCGAATAAGAATAGCAAGGGCTCAAGCCTTTAGAAAGTGGTTTCAGGGTGTGAATCTAGACTGGTAAGAAAGACTGTCTAAGTTTTGGAGACAAATAGTATTTCAGAAAGACCCTTGTCCTCAACCATCAAGCATCATCTTATGCTGAATTAGGTGATGATACATAGGAGAAGTTTAACTGTAGAGGATAGAATCAGAGAAAACACAACGCTGACCAAGGTGATTCACTTAACGGGGGGGGCGGGGCGGGGGGAGCCTGTTCTCCGAAACATTTAACTTCCCCTGTGTATTAACACTGAACTCGGGAGCTGTGAATTCTGCGAGGGCAGAGCAGACAGCTAAACTTAGGTATTAAACATTCATCTAACGTGCATGTGAATACAAAAGGTGGAAGTAGGAGCTGTAGATTGACCCCACAGTATGTGTTCTAGATATGGAAAATGAGACAAAGGCACCCAAACTGAAACCCTAAAACTAGTATGTGGTTCATGTCCCTGTAGGGAGCCTTCTAAGTGCTGGAACAAAAGAATATTTTTTGTTTGACTTATTCAGCATAAACAGAATGACTTGGATATTTTCTCTTTTCTCTCTCTTTTGTAGCTCCACAGTAATCAAACAGAATTCAAACAAACTTTTGAAAAACCAGGTTTTTGTTGGACACTACTTTTGAAATATCTGTCTGTGGTAACTTTTTCTTCTGCATAGAAATAAGCCTTCTGAAATCAATGTTAAAATTAGATTACCTTTTCAATCATAAATGTTGCTGTGTGACTTCCAACAGCAATTGTACGAGCTGGTAAAATGAAGCCTGAAATGTGCAAACATCTTTAAGTTACTGCTTAAGCCTAGCAGCTATGTTCTGGGAGTACTGGAGCATTAGACATTTTGCTCTTCATTTTGCTTCTGTTACACATCTGATTGGTACCACAGAGGATCTGTTGTGTCAAGGCTGTGGCTGTGATGCTGAGTCCCAGAAGGATTTGAGAGAGAGATGCTGGGAGTTAGAATGTTGAGTGATCTCTATAAGCACCTCTTTAATTTGCTTTTTCCCTCCCCATCTCTCTCAAATTAGAAATTAGTAGGTGATTGCTCAAATCCTTTTGGAGTGCAATGAGTTTTGGAGTCCAGCAAGCAAGAGAGATGTGAATGTTTGCCAGAATAGACTCCATTCTTCTCTCTTGTCTTCCAATTCTAATCTAATTGTCCGTCTTTATTCTCCTTACCTCTTTCCTCTATTTTTCCTATTTTTGTTGCTTTTTGTTTAATTCATCATAATCTGCATCCTTTTTTTTTCCTGTGAGGTTTTGATTTTTTTTTATTTAGGATTTCATTAATTGATTTTATTTTCCTTCTTTATGTTTTTTACCTTCTCCTTTATCTAATTTATTTTGTTGAATTTCCTTTTATATTTCTAAAGTTGCTCTTACGCCTGGCATAACTTGTAGAATTCCTTGTGCTGAGTATGTCTTAAGGGGCTGTTGTGTTTTGTGTTTGGATCTCAGTCTGTTAAACCTTATGTTATTAAGTTATTGTTCAGCCACCCTTGATCAGATTTTGGACTGCATCCTATTGTTTATTATTTCCTTGTGGGTACGGACATTCAGCAGTAAGTGTCCTAGACTGGTGATCTCCAAACTTTTTTGATTGTGCACCCCTATCAGTAAAAAATTTTTGAACATGCACCCCTAATATATGCATATTTATTAATGTATAAATCATGTATGGGTACCACTGTACTAACACATTCTGTATATTATAAAACCTACACAAAAATAGAAATTAAAAAGAGAACGAGATAAAGATGAAATTAACACTTTTAAAAAATATTTTTAAATTTTATTTACTAATGGTACAAAAAATATTTTCCTCCTGCACCCCAGTGGATTGTCTTGTGCACCCCCTGGCATCCACACACCCCACTTGGAAGCCACTGTTCTAGATATTCCCAAAACGAGCATCAGTACCCCCAAGCACACTTCTTCCAAAGAGCACCTAAGTTCTAGAAGTGTTCTTAGTTTGTTGTGGTTTTTTTCCATATCTGATAAAGGCAGCAAATTTTGTAACAGCTCCAGAATAGCTAGCACAGCAGGAGAGTTAGTTGAAACAATAATTCCTCACATTCATCTTCCTCTTGTCCATTTTCTCACCTTTCTTGTGTATTTTTGCCCATCCTTTTAAAGTAAACAATGACATACATGTACAAACCAGTCACTCTTTCACACAAGGCCATTTATGATTTTGCTAGTAGGTTGGAAAGAATTCCTGTTATGTTGTAAACCATTTCACACCACCTTCATTATTAATGGTGTAACAAAACGTCTTTTAATTTCATTCTAACAGAACTTCTTACCAGTTCTGTGCTATATTAGAAACTATTTATGTCTGCATTATTACTGTGTAGTTCTACAGCGAGAAATTATCTCCCCTTGGTTATAGGAGGGCTTGATTTTGAATAATGCGAGGTATTTTAGGATGAGTAGCACTGCTGCTTTTACTGCTTTACCAATTTTGTTCTGTTCTTTAGTGATAGGAACAGAAAAAATAACTAGAATCTCCCACA